CCCAAGTTTCTAGTTTCGAGAAATGTGTAGCCAATAAACTTGCAGTTATTTCATAAAAGCTGCAAGGTGATTGGCTACACATTTTACGAAACTAGAACTTGGACCAAGTTCTAGCATCGTGGACACAGACCTTAAGACAAGTATATTCTTTCATTCTAGCTTACTGCACTAGCACACCAGTGCAGCAACAGAAAACAAGCCTTATGTAACGTATACTTGGCTGTGTATTGATAAAGGTGTGCGTTTCTTTTTCAGGTTCCAGAAAGCCTGTGTGAAGTATGGAGTACCCGACGTCGATCTCTTCCAAGCTGTCGACCTGATTGAACGTAAAAATATCGCTCAAGTGACAAACACCATCTTCGCGATCGGACGAACGGTAGTTGATTAACGACAGCTTTGTTATTTTGTTATTTTTATATTAAACTAATATTTCACCGCATTTAGAAAATCTACAGATTTTAAGAAGAACTTCCTAGATAATAAATACGTCATACACAATAGAAGAAAGTCCCCTATTATGAGATAAGATCCTAATATGAGATAGCGGAGTTTCTGCTAAATTAATAGGCATCATCTGTTGGCTCCATTATGAATTTATTGCCCTTGGAGTGAGATCTGTTTAGTGGAAAATTGATTGTTAGATCGTGTATTCGTTGCGATATTTTTGTCATTGAATTTGGGACGTTAAAAACCTGCTATTTCATATTAGAATCCTATCGCATAATAGAGGACTTTCCTCTATCTATATGATAAATTTTCAGAATCCCGCTTTACAGATCTGAAGTAAATAACACCTGTGAATTAAGCATATACTTTAACATTGTATCACTTTAACTGTACTGTGGAAAACTATATTCTTTATGCCAGGGTTGGGAAAGTTACTTTATAAAAATAACTAGTTACAGTTACAGTTTTTTCACTAACAATGTAACTAGTTACAGTTACAAGTTACCAATTCTGAAAAGTAACGCGTTACAGTTACAGTTACTCGAAAAGTAACGAATCGTTACTTTGCAGTTATTCCCTTGCAATAGAAATAAAAATATCGAATCTGCATCTGAACTGTAAAGCGGCGATAAAGGCGTTTATGCGCAAATGCAAGGCCTAATGCGATCTGTGGAGGTTGAAAAAATATATAAAGTAACTGTTAAATTAGTTACTAGTTATCGAAAAAATGTAACTGAGTTAAGTTACAGTTACAGATGTAGAGAAAGTAACGAAGTTAAGTTAGAGTTACCAAAAAGAAGTAACTGTAACTGTAACTTCGTTACAAGTAACGAGTTACTTCCGAACCCTGCTTTATGCTCATTTGCAGACATATAAGCATCCGGAGTGGCGTGGTCCCTGGCTGGGTCCGAGACCATCAGAGGAGAACAAGAGGGCCTTCACCGAGGAGCAGTTGAGGGCTGGCGAGGGACTCATCGGCCTGCAAGCCGGTACCAACAAGGGAGCTACGCAATCCGGACAGAACTTCGGGGCTTCGAGAAAGATACTTCTTGGAAAATAATTCATAGAACTCACACTTTTTTTTATCGCCGTTAGAAATATTCTGTTTGCGCAACCCTAACAAAACCTTACCTCACCTTTTAAGTGAATATCCGCATCGTAACGTAAAATTATTAGAAATATTGAACTGTACCATTCAGTGCTTTCGCAAAAAGAACAAATCAAACTTGCTAATTCCTTGACGATTAGAAGCCGTCAATATATCTGAACGTCGACGCATAAATGTTAGACGCGCTGATTATCCCGTGTCCATTAGCGCGTTTCACTTCTAACGCGAGTGTATCCAACAAAATGTATTTTATGAAGTAATCAATATACATACAGTGCACCGAGAAAGGAATTATTGCTCCCGTTTCATCTCGGCGCACCGCGAGCAGAGAGATCCCGAGCTGTCCCGAGCCGAACTATTGCTCTCCCGCCGCGAAATTCCTAGAGCGAGTCTTGTCGCTCTTGCTAGTTTCCTGGCAGCTCGCTCGGCTTCCGACAATCGTCTTCGGCCGCGTGTTCCGTGTCGGTGCCGCGCGCACGCACGCGGAGACGCACGTGCGCGTCTCCGGTCCGCGCGCGCGTACAATAGCGCGTCGCGTCACGTCGCGTCGGCCCCGCACACGCCCGAATGATCGCCTCGTGCCCGCGTACGTGCGTGCCGACGTGTACACGCGCGCAACACGCGCGCAGGCCGCAAGCGGAGCGCGTATATGCGAACACCGTCGGAGCCCACGTACGTGACGGGGACGACGAGTGGGCGTGACGTGTACGTACACGCGTTACACGCATTCCTTGACCGGTTTCTACACCGCGAGGCTCCCCGAGGATCAGGCGAGCATCCTAAGACGGAACACGCCGGTTCCCGCCGATCCGAAATCACACCGCTCCGCTTTTTTCTCTCTCCCTCTCTCCGCGCGCAGGCCGTCGTCGTTGCGCGTACCTACCGGCGCCTCTCTCTCCTTCGCTGCTTCCTGTGCCGCGAACGAAGGCGGAGAACGAAACGGCGGCGATGGCGAGACATTCGCCGTCAGAGAGTGACAAACTGCGCGTAAAACATAAATACGTTTAAATGTATAAAGCTCGTATCAGCTGCTACGGATTGAGATTGAGATTCGATTGAAATTTGACCGATCTGAGTAAAGTTCATTAATCTCAAGTGACTTTTACCCTAAATTGCTCAAACTTCACTCTAATCGTAGCATAACTAGTAGGTCCACTCCGTCATGTGTTTCGTTTCGCGTTTCGATCCCTTCTGCGCATCCGACATTGCTCTGGGCAGACCAACGAGAGAAAAGTTGTATGTGTAGTAGTGTGGCTTTGATGAGTACGTGTATACACACACGTGGCGGAACACCACGTGATCGGGACCGCAAAGAGATCAAAGGGGCCGGCAGTGGGGAGTAGAGGTTCACGTAGAAAAGGACAAACTCTGTTTCGTGCTATTTCGTCCTCTCTCGTTCGCATGTAAGCAAGAGAGAACGCAATAGCACGAAACAGAGTTTGTCCTTTCCTACGTGTACCTCCACCCCCACTGCTCAAATAAAGGCTCGGTCTAGATATAATAGTTGCTTTCCTTTTACATGAAAACTCAGATAAATCTCACTTGTGACATCATAACTCAGTTGAATGCATGTTCCTTTTGATTCTTGAGAAGTGAGATTCAACCAGATTTAACTGAGTTTCTGAGTATAAAATACTCACATAACTGAGTGACTCAGTATTACTTGAGTGTAAAAGGAAAGCAGCTATTATGTCTATAGGGTGGACCAGCTAGTTATATAATACTATGATCTAATCTCAATCTCAATCCGTAGTCTGATACGAGCTTTAAGCCTATCAGACAATAGGAAAGCAGATACAGTTATAGGAATAGGCGCTAGGAACAGAATTTCCGATGCGTTGGATTTCTGTTCCCTATTCTCTGTACCTGACCAATCACAGTTGAGACTTTGGGATAGGTACGTGGTTTCAAAAAGCAGACGATTGGACAGCACTCCTATTGCCAATGAATTATTTCTGTTGCCTGTGCTATTCCTATTGCCTGTGCTTTCCTATTGTGTGATAGGCTCCCTGGCGAAAATTTTAAGTGAGAGATAATGTTTATATATTTATTTATGAAGAGTTTTATCGATAATTACATTGTTTATGAAGAGTTTTATTGATGGTTACACCGTCTGGAAGTACGTTGCAAACACCTGGTTAATCCTTTACTGACAATAACATATTTTACAAACACTCAGAAAATTGCCCAAGGAAAATGGAAAGTCAAGACGATGTCAATTTGTTAAGGAACCTGCACGTTGCTAGGGTAAGTTGCGATTGTTGCGAAGTAAACAAAAAAATCGATTTCCTACGAGAAGACAGATCGAGGTTGGTTTTCTTCAAGAGCTCTCCTTCGTTTTTCGGAACGTAGTGGCATACACCGAAGCTGTTATTACTCAGGCTTTCACAAAGTTTACTAAGGTGAGAAACGATCTTACAGACGTATCGGAGATACCTCCCTCCCTCTCTCTTTCTCTCTATCTATTACGGGGCCGCAAGGCATTCGTCTGTACAGATCCACTTCTCATTACGGGGCCGCAAGGCATTCGACTGTACAGACCTATTTCTAATAAACGGAGCCGTTAAGCAATCGGTTGCATAGACCCTCCTTTTTTCGATATGGGACCACGAAGTAACCGTCTGTGCAACCCCTTCTCATTCTCACGGGGCCGAAAGGCAATCGTCCACACGGACACCCCTCTTTCTTTTATTTTTTTCACAGCATCTCTCATCTCAAGATAAATAGAAGAGCACATCTACTGTTCTTATCACATCAGGAAGAGAACTGAAGCAAGAGGATCAGAGGCACAAGGATTTTGTCAAACTATACAATAATCTAATTCCTTTACCATTTTCTAACAGTGTTGATTAATCAATAATTATAATTTGTCAAAAGGAATACACTCGTTGATCGTTATTTTAACTTCAATTTTTTGAGTGAACCTTTTTCAAACACAATTTGACGTCATATTGACCAAATTTATATTTTGGTCAATTCCAGTTACAGTTCCAGTTACTCGAAAAGTAACGAATCGTTACTTTGCAGTTATTCCCTTGCAATAGAAATAAAAATATCAAATCTGCATCTGAATTGTAAAGCGGCGACAAATGTGCAAATGCAAGACCTAATGCGATCTGTGGAGATTGAAAAAATATATAAAGTAACTATTAATGTAACTATTAAATTAGTTACTAGTCATCGAAAAAATGTAACTGAATTAAGTTACAGTTGCAGATGGAGAGAAAGGAACAAAGTTAAGTTAGAGTTACCAAAAAAGTAACTTTAACTAACTTCGTTACAAGTAACGAGTTATTTCCCCTGGCATGTGGTCAAATGTCATCGGGTACCAATTCAAATTATCAATACGCAGAATCTATATCGCTCTAGACACGTGCGTCATCGCCGAAACAGCGCGGAAATGGGACAGTCCCATTTGCCAGTGGTGTCGGATTATTCACCTTAATTATTTCAATATTTGCTGGCGGCAGAATATCTTAAATTTGGTTTGATTTTACACCTTTATGTTTTTTGAAATTTTACCATACTTACATTCTGCTAGAAAAATGTATGGTAAAATTTCCAACAAAACCCTCATAAAATTCTTGGAAATGTCATGTTGTCCCGCGATTGCACGATTTTCAGGATCAACCGAGAGAAAATTCTCTCGGTGTATGCGCAATGTTTCACTCTGTATTTTTGGTTTGATTTTACACCTTTATGTTTTTTGAAATTTTACCATACTTACATTCTGCTAGGAAAATGTATGGTAAAATTTCCAACAAAAACCTCATAAAATTCTTCGAAATGTCATGTCCCGCGATTGCACGATTTTCAGGATCAACCGAGAGAAAATTCTCCCGGGTATATGCGCAATGTTTCATCCTGTATTTTTACATCGTGGGTCGGGTATCATTCTCGCCGCGACTCGCAATTCTTCCAACGTCAAAATATCCAAAAATCCTCATCAAATTCTTGGAAATGTCATGTTGT